CTTCGAATGAGACGCAAAATGAGTTGGTTACCACCGTGAAGAGAAATACGGTGTGCGAAACGGACCAAATGCTCAGCCATTCGGCAGTAATATGGCAAAAGAATCGGATGACTCTCGTCGTATGATAGCGAGTCAGATGCCGTCAAACGACCACATGATCGGAAGACGCCATCGGAATTAAAAAACGGATTCAGGTTGAGGATGCAACTTGAAGTAGGAAGTTTTTTCTTGGATTTAAGAAGTTTGTATTCCTCTTGATACTCATTTCGTTGGGTCTGAATGATTAGAATTCGTTGGAGATTGGATATTTCATGTGCGCCCAAATTTGGTGGATAGGTGCTGCGAAAACGTCGACATAGACTTATGAAACGATGCACGAATGGCATAACTCTTAACATGCGCTTGAAATCGGAGAATCTATCAAGAATATCCCAAATTGGACATGCGAAGTGGCAACGCACTGCCTTTTTCTCAAGATCAGTTTCAGCAACTGCGTCACAAGGCTTAGGCCATTCTTGCTGTGGGCGAACTAACCATGAGGGTCCATGCCACCATAGGTCACTGTCAGCCAGTTCTTTAAATGATACTCCTCGACTAGCTAGATCTGCTGGATTGTGTTCTGAACGCACATGAGACCATTTGCTTTCTTGCGTAGCTAATGTGAACTTGGTCACTCGATTAGCCACAAATGTTGTCCATTGGCACGATGGTTTATTCAGCCAGGCAAAAACAATAGTGGAATCAGTCCAAAAGTAAGTGTCCGTAACGTCAAGTGGGAATTGAGAAAGGACTGCGGCCCAAAGTTCGGCCAGAAGAACAGCTCCACAAAGCTCGAGCCTAGGCAGTGACACTGTTTTCACTGCTCAGAGGAAATGATACCGCCGCGTTGAACTCGAACATATATCGCCGCCCCGCATGCCTTTTCGGAAGCATCTCAAAACACATGAACTTGGACCTTTGCGCCGGGTTGAAATTGTATCCGCGCGGAACGCGCACTCTTTGCAGGAAGTTTTGGCTGCGAAGGATATCGTGCCACCTTTGAAGTAAGTCTGCGGGAAGAAAATCGTCCCAACCAATTTTCGCTAGCCAAATGTCCTGCATCAATATTTTTGCTTGGATTATAAATGGTGATAGCCAGCCGGCTGGATCGAAAAGTCTAGCATTCTGGGACAGGATTTCTTGTTTTGAAAACTTCGATTTTAACTCTACTTGAGTCGCAACGAAATAAAACTCATCTGCTGTTGCATTCCATCGCACTCCCAGCGTTTTTGTAGTGCTGACTTCCTCAATCTCGAGAAAGTCGACCGAGAGCATATGCTCTTTGGGGAGAGATTTGAGAAGGTTTCTTTCATTGGATGTCCATTTACGAAGGGGAAAACCAGCTAACTGAGCGCTGATCGTAATTCCGAAATAGCTAAAATGGCTTTGAACTTTGAGTGTGCTCCTGCAAGCACATCATCGACATACATATAATTAGAAATAATGTCAGAAGCACGGGGACACTGTGCTTCGACGTCATGGGATAGCTGCTGTAGAGTGCGTAAGGCCAAAAAGGAGCACAATTTACTCCAAAAGTGACCGTCTGAAGTTCGTAATCAGCGATATACTATTGATCATTTCGAAAGAGGATTCTTTGAAACTGTGCTTCCTTCGCAGCCCTAACAGTTCAGCAAAGATTCGATTTCTCTAAAACAACACCTTTATGCATTAACTGCTTAAGAAAGGGTCACACTGTCAAAAATTGCAAATCGAACAGATGTAGAGTGTGCAATTCTTAACATCCCACTTTGCTACACATATATTCCCAAACACAAATCTCGCGTTGCCAACCCCTTCTCAACCCACGCTCATGCAGAAGTCTTCATCCACTTCGCATGTTTTTCATGCGAATGCATCAAATCGTGTTATTCTTGCAATTGCTGTTGAGAGCGTTCTACTCAAACGTGGCGAGTTTGTATTAGCTCGAGCGTTGCTCGACTCTGGTTCACAAATAAATTTTGTGACCCATGAGCTCGCTCAGAGGCTCAAAATTACAAGAGAGAACGTGTGCATGAACTTGCAAGGCAGCGAGTAGGGAACAGCCAGTTATCGTCCGATTTTTGGATCATGAAAAATATTTCTGGCTATCATCCGGATCAAGCGGTGAACACCAACGGGTGGAGGGTGCCTAAAAATATTCAGTTGGCAGATCCATTCTTCTTCAAGCCCCAAAAAATAGATATGCATATCGGTACGTTCTTTGATACGTTCTTTGAACTTTTATCTATTGGCCAGATAAAGCTGGGTCCTGAACTCCCCATCTTACAAAAGACAGTTCTCGGCTGGATAGTGTCAGGGAGATGTGCCTCTAAAAATAATGTGAAACAAGAAAGGTTCATATACCCTTGCAGCTATTTCAAAAACTAAATACTCTTGAAAGCGTTAAAATTATGATTAACGTTTGCGTGTATGTTTAAAAACATTGAAACTTTGATGATTTGAAGCTTAATTATTAGATAGTTCCTATGGCAGCTATACGATTTTTCCTATGGGAGCTTTAGTCGTCCGAAAAGTTTTGGGAAAGTTTCATGCAGATAGCTTTAAAACTGAGAGACTAGTTTGCGTAGAAACGGACGGAAAGACGGACGGACAGACGGACATGGCTAGATCGACTCTCCTAGTGATGCTGATCAAGAATATATATACTTTATAGGGTCGGAGATGTCTCCTTCACTGCGTTGCAAACTTCTGACTGAAATTATAATACTCTCTGCAAGGGTATAAAAATGGTACATCTCAGCTGCCAGGAGGAAGCGTTGGAGTCAATTGACACAACCCTGCAGAAATTTTGGTCTGTGGAGGACTTGCCGCCCAAGGCTAAAGTCCATACTCCTGAGCAACAACTCTGTCAACAACACTTTGAGAAAAATACTCAAAGATTGTCGTCCGGTAGATTTTCGGTTCGTTTGCCGTTCAAATCTGACCCAAATACTCTTGGTTCATCATACGAAGTTGCGAAACGTAGATTTTTGTCGCTTAAACGGAAATTGTCAAAGGATCCTTTGCTGAAGAAAATGTATATTGAATTCCTGGAGGAAGGTATCGACTTATTTATCTACTTCTTCTTTTGACTGTGACGATTTCTGTATTTTTAATATAAACTGGTTCATCATCTTTCAATCAAATTTTTTGTTTGTTTTTTGTGCATAATTTATTAAGTATTGTTTTAAATTGGGAAGGGACATTTTTATTCAATGTATTTAAAGTATCTGTATTGTTGTCATTTTCGTTTGTATTTATTTTTTCGTAGTCATCTAATGGTTCAATTTTTAGTTCCTTTAAATGGATAATTTCGTTTTTATTTGCAGTATTGGAAATTCGGACATATGTATTTATTAAATCTGCAATGGAGTTTCTAATTAACACTTCGTTTTGGATTTCTTGGTTTGGTATAAATAAATAATTGGTTGCTGCCTTTATAAAACTTTTTCGGAAAACTTCGGACCTTGCTGGTAGAATTGTCCAAGTGTTTTCAAGTGTATGATTTATTGGAATGTTTATTGGGTGATCGAGATTGTTGGGCCTTAGTATAATCGTTTTCTGGTTAAAGTCTATTTGACAATTATTGTTTTCATGAAATCGATGCCAATTATTCCATCACATGGAATTAGACATGAAAGGAGTTCTATTGAAGTTGGTGTTCCTTCACCAACTCCTGATATTTAAATAATATTTGTGTGATCTACGTCGTTAAATGAATCTGAATTTTTTTTATCGATGAAATATCTTCACCAGTATAAACTAATAATGTATATTTTTGAAATTGATTGATTGAAATTAAGGTTGATTGTATGAACAGATTGTTTTACGTTTGTTTCTATCTTAAGTAAGTTTACGAGTTCACCGACGTAGCTTGTACAATTCGGATTATTATTATTATTATTATTATTATTATTATTATTTATTATTATTATTATTATTATTATTATTATTATTATTATTATTATTATTATTATTATTATTATTATTATTATTATTATTATTATTATTATTATTATTATTATTATTATTATTATTATTATTATTATTATTATTATTATTATTATTTATTATTATTATTATTATTATTATTATTATTATTATTATTATTATTATTATTATTATTATTATTATTATTATTATTATTATTATTATTATTATTATTATTATTATTATTATTATTATTATTATTATTATTATTATTATTATTATTATTATTATTATCATTTTCGATTTTGATGAAATTTTAACCGTAATTCTGAAATATTTAACCATTACTATATATCGAAGAACTAAAAAAAATAAAAAACAACAAAGTTAAAATTTTTTTTATATATTTTTCCGATTGCTCCTATGGGAGCTATTGCTATAGTCGTCCGATCCGACTTATATACTACCTACAATAGAAAGACAACTTTTGGGAAAGTTTCATGCAGATAGCTTTAAAACTGAGAGACTAGTTTGCGTAGAAACGGACGGACAGACGGACGGACAGACGGACGGACAGACGGACACACGGACATGGCTAGATCAACTCTCCTAGTGATGCTGATCAAGAATATATACTTTATAGGGTCGGAGATGTCTCCTTTACTGCGTTGCAAACTTCTGACTGAAATTATAATACTCTCTGCAAGGGTATAACATAACTTCTGTCGCGTGCGCAACAAAAAAAACTTTACTTCGGCGAGGGGAGCGCAGCAGGCGTTATACCTTCACCGTGACTTTGGTTCTGGGCTCTCCTCTTCTCCAATCGCCCTCCTGAGCTCCGGCTCTCGTGTTTTAAATTTGCTGGGTCAACGGCCGTCTAAAATTTGGGGTGGCCATTCAAAAAACGCAGTATCTTTCAGTATAAAATCACCCCTGCGCCGATATGGCTATCACCGATAACCGATATGGCTATCGATAACCAGGACACAAAAACCACACCGACAATGAACAAAAATGCGAATACGAAAATAAGAACAAGAGAATTGGCAGTGAAGACATGGCCTTTATCCGTAATCTGGAGTCCGAACCACGAACCCAACGGGGAAAAACGCCCACGGAGCGAAGAAAAATATGCCCAACGACCCACTCTGCACTACGGTGCCTATTACTCCGGAACATCAACTGTACGATTTGACTCGGGTTATATGTGAAATATCTGAAACATATTCCAGATTTATATTTCTTCTTTCTTCCAGACACTCTTCGTTGGCCGATCTTATCCCATTGGTGTAGGTCGCCTTCTCCAGAAATCCCTTACTGCTTTAAGTCCTTCACTACACTCCGTTGAGCTTTCCGCGCATGTCTTCCACTTCATACGCATTTCGCATTGAAGTTCTTCCCAAAGTCACTTTGAACAAAATTCCTTCGGATGATTTCTTGTCCTGCCTTGGATGTGATCTGCCGTGTGGTCCAACTGCAGTACTGCGCTCTGGACTCGTGCGCTCTAAATAAATTCCTGCCGAACGACTCGCGTAATAGTTCCAACATATCTCCGTGTTCTAGATTTAGGATTTGGCAGTCCTCCAATGAGTGCAGCTTTCCTGCCGATCGACTCGCGTAATAGTTCTTCTTTTCTGACTATGGCCGTAACTGATCGTTGCACCTCCTGCCGTTCTGGCCGACGTTTCATGAACTTTTCTCTAGCTTTCTTAACTCTTCTTGTTATTATTGTTATTAAATATGCTATCTCGAGGCTCTATATACCGTCGCAGGCGTTCTTGCAGTGACAAAAATACCCTGTCAGGATTGAATGTTCCTGACAGTACCTTGCTTGCTGTTTGTCTGTTTTATTGCTGGCCATTTTGGCCATTTTGCCAATCCCCATTTGTAGCAGAACAGATTCCGTTGCTCCGCTTTGCAATCCTTAAAACCATGACCCTTCTGGCGACAGTTACAGCACACCATTGCACAGTGGTCGGGCTTGTATGGGATCCACGGCCATAAATACTTCTAGAGGGGCTATCGCTTTGACACTTATACCATAAATCTAGAAAAATATTATAAATATATAGGACAACAATTGGCCAGAACTTACCAATACATCCTATAGCTTTCATAGGAACAATCGTAAAAAAAATTTTTAAAAAATATAACATTTTGGTTTTTAAATTTTTTTTTTAGTTCTTTAAGATTTAGTAATAGTTTAATATTCCCGAGAATATTAATATTATTGAAATCGGACCACCCAATGAATATCATGCACTTTTTCGTTGCTATTCTTGAAGATAGAGCAGATAGAGCAAAACAAAAAGATGAATAAAATCAAATAGCTAGACCAATTATAAATAAGAATTGTTACATTTAAAGTCAAAAATTTGAATTTTTTGTATTTATGGCCCATGGAACCGACCAGTGAGCATTGACTTCCTCATGGACTCGACACCAATTGCTTCAACGGTTTCCTCTGAACCTTATACAGCCTCCCTTTCTCCAAGTCCCAACTTCCCAATCTCGTCCACTTTGCCTACACGTCCCTCATGTTGACTTCTGTAGACTACTGGGATTTGTGAACGCAGCCTTCAGTAATCTGGACCGATCAGCCTGTCTGCATTCTTCGTGAAGATGCTCTAACGGGATACACCCACTGCTTGACCGGTTCTGCCAGGTTTCGCTTTGCAGTCTTGATGACCCAGTCATTGTCCACACTGAAACGCACTGAAGCCAGCAGTCGCCGAATTGCCGTGAAATACTTGTCTAATGATTCGCCTTGCCCTTGCTTTTGATCAGCGATGTCCCTAATCCGGTCGTAGTCGCTCCTGTTATCGCAATAACGCCACTCCAAAGCAGTTTTGAGCTCGGACCAGTCCCTCGGCGGCTTTGTGCGCATCATTAGCCAGTACCACTCAAAGGCATCTTTAATCAGAAGGCGATGGAAATCTCTTAACAGCTCCTTCCACGGCATGCCGTAGTGTTGTTGTAGGTGTTCTACTCGAAAGATAAAATCCTTGGTTTCTGTGTTGCCTGCAAATTGGAATCCCCACATGCCGAAAGGAATATAGCATCTCGACCGGTTCGGTCCTCGCTGACCTGGCATCCCCACCGGTGTGCTCCTTCTTGGTCCTTGGCAATACATCGCTGCTGCAGTTTGCATCAGGCATGTTGGATGCGAGTCGGTTACGAATATGGACTGGTAAATGTAGCAGCGATTGAGACACATTCGATATTGCATTCTGCCCAAGATTCAAAAATAATAAATTCTATTAGCTGGGTGAACGTTGCCGCTAAGCGGCCTTGCCTTTGCCTTTGTTGTTCTTCTCCTGGTACTTCGGTCGGAGCTTTCCTCTGGTTTCTGTCATCCTGGACGTTTTGCTGACCAGGCCGACTGGCCCAATTCGACTGTTCGCCCTTCCGACTGTTGATGATGATTTTGGCGAATTTCCTTTCAGCTAAAGGTTTTTTATCAGCTCAGCGAATCCGGTCTGCACACATTATTCTATTCGCATATCTACCAACTGTTGCAAATCTACACTTAATTGCTCCTGGGACGTCATAATTATCCGCACGATTTCCCTTCTGTTGTCTGAGCCTGAGTTGTATGCCTCCGCAGCTTCCGCGCTGCAAGAGCAGTTCTTGTATTGGGTCTAATTGAATATGCGAGTAGGTTCCAAAAGAAGTAGAGGTGTTATCGAGATTTAACCCCCTAGGAATTACTCCCTTTTTTGCGCGCTAAGACAGTTTCTATCCCCTGGCCTTCCTTGCCCTTGATCTTGCTCTGAATTTTTGTTGTCACTCATTCTGCACAGGTAGGTACTTCTCATTGAATTTTGAATATGTATTTAAAACTATTAACTGCTCCTACCTAAACCAAATGTACTATATTTATTTATTGACGGATTTCCTATTAATTATTCAACCAAATGGGAGAAAGGGATTACAGGGGTACAGAGGTTGCATTATATTATTTTCAAATGTCTGAAAGTAGAGATCCCAAATTCTTTTAACGTCGATTGGTTTCGTCGACCAGATAAATTATCAACTTAATTGACAATTAATAGTCAAAGAAAAAAATCCCAAGACATTACCAATTCTTTTAAATTTTCCTTTCCTTTAGGTATTACCACTTTCACCGCCCGATGCTACTTTCTCAGTCATCATTGGAGCAAAGGACATCGGACTACAACTGAATCGCTACAAAAAGGATGTGATTTCGGATCCTATTTTGGACGCCGGTTGCCGGAAGAGTTATTCTCGGAAAGAAATTATTCAGAATTAGCTTTTAATTTTCCTAGATAAAGAATTTAAATCATCTCTAGATTAGACATATATATACAATTCAATATTATGTAAGCTTAATTTTATTTAATTAATTATTATACATAAAACAAGAAAGGAAGCAAACTTCGGCAAGCCGAAGTTCATATACCCTTCCAGCTATTGCAAGAATTAAATTTTTTTGAAAAAATTAAAATTATTATTTACTTGCGTATATGTTTAAAAATATTGAAGATATGATGGATTGCAGCTCTATTATTAGATAGTTATTTTATATATTTATAATATTTCTATGGGAGCTATATGATATAGTCGTCCGATTTTGATGGAATTTAAACCGTAATTCTGAAATACTTAACCATTACTATATGTCAAAAAACTAATAGAAAAATTAAACAACGGCATAGTTATAATATTTTTTTTATTTTTTTCCGATTGTTCCTATGGGAGCTATATGATATAGTCGTCCGATTTTCATGAAATTTAAATCGTAATTCGGAAATATTTAACCATTACTATATGTCGAAGAACTCAAACAAAAATTAAAAAACGGCAAAGTTATAATTTTTTTTTTATTTATTTTTTCGATTGTTCCTATGGGAGCCATATGCTATAGTCGTCCAAACCGGCTCGTTCCGACTTATATACTACCTGCAATAGAAAGACAACTGTTGGGAAAGTTTCATACAGATAGCTTTAAAACTGAGAGACTAGTTTGCGTAGAAACGGACGGAAAGACGGACGGACAGACGGACATGGCTAGATCGACTCGCCTAGTGATGCTGATCAAGAATATATATACTTTATAGGGTCGGAGATGTCTCCTTCACTGCGTTGCAAACTTCTGACTGAAATTATAATACCCTCTGCAAGGGTATAATTAATTAAAACAAACACATAAACTTTAATGAGTGACATTAAAAATAAACTTAAATAAAATTTGTATTTTACTATGACATTATGCCATCATGCCATTTAAGGCTGATCCAGAAACTCTCAACACCTTCGTCAGCAGTGTGGACTATGTAATTTCACTCTACCAAACTAATGATGTGCAACAACAGAGGATTTTTCTGGGAGCCTTCGAAAGAAACTTGAACGGACACGTAACACGGTCATTGGGCCTTCCGAACATTGAAGATTGGCCTACCCTTAGATCGAGACTAGTTGCAGAATTTAAACCCCAAACACCGAACTACAAACTACTGGAGAACTTCAGGGAGACAATAGAAATCTGAGAGCAGAAAGACGACGTCAAGTAATCAGTAGTTCTAAATTGCATCTGGAAGGTAACCAGCCAGATTTTCTTATTTATATTCAGGCGATTAAAGATTCCATTAAAATATTGATCAGAAAATTACCAATACAATTATTAACTATTTTGGTTCATCATGATATTACAGACTTAAGATCGTTAATAACTATTGAACAAAAAGAGCGAATACCCTAATCAAAATTCAAAATCACACAAATTTAATACAAATACCCAAACCCGATATCGAACAAGTTACCCATAATATTCTCAACCATTCCAACCTAATTTTAATCAATACACGGAATCTTTTAGACCCACCTATACACTTCAGATGTCTAACAACCAAGCTATGTGGCACGCACCAAATCATTTCGTACCCAAGCAATACATGAATACACAACTATTTACTCACAAAAATCCTTTCCCACAATATTCCAATAAAATTCAAAATCCTCAAACAGCATATTTTTAAGGTAAATGTATTACTCTCAACAACAATAACACTCCACATCTAAAAATACTTACTTCCCGGTTACCGAACGACTAAGACTATCGGACAGTACGAAGAAATACAACCTAATTATTATGAACAACAGTATTATGACCACAATCAATACCATGGGTTGAATAATGAAGGACAACAACAGTTACGATCCACCCAAAATAAAGATGAACAAAACCAAAATATCTCAGAACCAAATGAAAATTTTCGGTTAACAGCCCCGGACAACACCAATATATAGAAATGGCATACAAAGGTTCCACATACAATTGCCTTATAGACACAGGATCCACAATAAATATGATGAATAAAAATTTATTTTGTCTTCCTATTCAAAATACTAAATGCGAAGTTTTGACATCAAATGGTCCTATTACATTGAACAAATAAATTATGTTATAGTATTATTTTTAAAACAAATGAACCTTTTTATGTACACATTTTTTATAATAATTTCATATACTAATTGGCAGAAAATTGTACAAAAATACACAATCAATTTAAAATAACACAGTTACCGTTTTTGATAAACATACAAATTAAAAACTTCAAAATCAGAAAAAAAACAACATTTTTATTTCCAAAAGGTACTGGAACCAATTAAAAAATCACCTTAGGAATCAATACAAAAAATAGATTTTGGATTGTTTCGATTAGATCACCTGAATCAGGAGGAAACTTTAAGGTTGAAAGGTTTATTAAATAAATTTAAAAATCTTTAATATGAAGAAGGAGATAATTTAACAGGAGGAGAAGGAGATAGTTTAAATACCATTAAACACGTACTAAATACAACACATAACTCTCCAATTTATTAAAAACAGTACCCACTTGCTCAAGCGCACGGAATTAAAGTCGATAACCAAGTAAACGAAATGCCTAATCAAGTCACAAAGATGAAGAGCCTAGTTAAACGAATACCAATTTAAAATCGAATATATTAAAGGGGAAAAAAAATTCAGTTGCCGATGCATTATCAAGAATTAAAATTGAAGAAAATCATCACAGTGAAGTTACTTAACATAGTGCAGAAGAAGATAATAGTAACCTAATTCATTTAACAGAAAAACCAATAAACTATTTCAAAAAACAAATAATTTTCATTAAATCCGATAAAAATAAAGAAAAGTATTCAACAATATTCGGTAACTCCATTACCACAATCCAATATAATGTAATGACACTCCAAAAGGCCAAACAAATTTTACTTGATCATTTTATTCATAGAAACATTACCATTCGATGTAGATTTTGAAATCATTTAAAGAGCATACCGAGAAATTTGTAATACCACTTATACTTACGTAATTCGCAGCCTCCACCTATTAAAGAATGTTTGTTCATACGCCGAATTCAAAGAAATTATACTTCGATCACAGGAAAAACTTTTACATCCAGGTATACAGAAAATGACTAAAATATTCAAAGAAAATCACTTCTTTCCAAATGTTTGTTCATACGCAGAATTCAAAGAAATTATACTTCGATCACAGGAAAAAATTTTTACATCCAGGTATACGGAAAATGACTAAATTATTCAAAGAAAATCACTTCTTTCCAAATAGCCAACTATTAATTTAGAAAATAATAAATGAATGCAACATATGCAATTTGGCTAAAACAGAACACAGAAATACGAAAATGCCTTTTAAAATCACACCCAATCCTGAACATTGTTGAGACAAATTTGTGGTAAATATTTATTCATCTGAGGGAAAACATTACATCAGTTGCATTGACATTTATTCTTAATTCGCAACACTTGAACATATTAAAACAAAGGATTGGATAGAATGCAGGAACGCGTTAATGCGCATTTTTAATCAGTTAGGTAAACCCAAATTACTAAAGCAAACAGAGACGGAGCTTTCACCAGTCTGACTCTTAAGCGATGGCATGAAGCAGATGGAATTGAATTACAACTCAAAACGGCAAAAACCGGTGTAGAAGACGTCGAAAGACTACATAAGACAATATATGAAAAAATCCGAATAATTTACCCAAACAATGATGAAGAAGTAAAATTAGGCAAGACAGAGACAATTCTTTACACATAAAACCATAAAATAAAATAAGATACCACTGAACAAACACCTGCTGAAATATTCATATACTCTGGGCACTCAAAATATTAAGAAAGGAAAATAGATAAAATAAATGAAGATCGACAGGAATTTATCATTGACACTAGATACAGAAAAGCTTCACTTCAAAATGGAAAATTAGAAAATCCATATAAGACAATTAAAAATGTATTCACCACGGATCAACATAGATTCCATAATCAACACAGATTCCGAACTTGTATATTTACTTTTCTCAAGTATTCCAATTCATGAGAATAAAATTTATAATCAAGACAATAAAGAAGTTAATAATGAATGCATTAAAAATATAACAAGGTGCAAAAATCCAATTTGTAATTTCATACCAATTCTTTCAAAAGAAATTATTCAATACGTTGAACCAAATATTATACTGACATTGAATCTAACTGAAACTATAATCGAACAAAATAGTCAAGAATAAAATGACGATATAAAAATAAATGGAAGCAAAATTGTTAGAATAAAACAATGAAAAGTTAAAATTAAAAATATTATTTTAAGCGAAAATTCGTTAAATCCTGAATTCAATATAACAGCATTGTATTCACCGATTAATGTAACTAAGATAAGGATAGTAGAACATAATGACATTTTAAAACTAATTTCAGAAAATAATACCACACCTTACGTAATTATAATATTATTAGTTATCGTTCTTATTATTCTTCTTGTCATATCTCAATTTTTTACACTAACCATTTAATATATAAAATTTAGAAAACAAGCAAAAAAAATCAAGAACCACAACAAGAAATAGAACCGGCACAGAACCAGTTGCCTGCATTGTACCCTAAAATGCCAGCCCAAGCGTAGGCAACCCTTTTTAAGGGGAGGTAAGTGATATATTCACATATTCAGTTGTGTACCAAGAAATAAGAATGTGCAGTGTAGGCGATTTCAAGCTGAACCAATCCACATCCGGAGCAGGCGATGCTGCTCTTCTCAAATTATTATGTACAATCAATATCCCAAGAGGTCGATCTCACTCCCAAACTTAAATAAACAAAGGGCAGCACAAGTATAGTTTTTGTCACAAGAATTTAGTCTTAAGCTTGTAAGGATGCTCTCTGGCCGGGGTACAGATCTCAGTCAGATCCAGGAGTCCTTTACAAGAAATTTGTAAATCACCGAAACACCGGACTAGAGAGTATCATTC